CTATGCTTAATTTCATCCAAATCTAATTGAGTCGTTTTGGAGATACCTTCTAACAAACATCCATCCGTTCATCCATACAACATTTGCATTTATAATATTAGTAAAATAAACTCTTACCAAATTGCGAACCAAACAAATAGTTTTTCTTGTATTACGTGAACTTCCGTGAATAGCTTGTTAGGGATAGGAAGAGAATATCTAATTGTATCTAGTTTTGAAATTGTATGCGATATTTTTCAGGTGATCCAAATGCATCGTTCACTAAGGAGGAGATGCACGCGGGCCTGCACCAGGTGTACGAGCGGCGGCTGCACAACCAGCTGTTGCAGGCGCAGCGAGACAAGCCCGACGACAAGAACTGCACAGGTAACACTCGCCATACGACTCAAACTACACAATACCCTTAACTCAACCTCACCACTGACAGTAGTAATATTAAATTTACACCTATTCTGATGATAATACAGGTAGCAAGTCTATTTCAATGTCTGTATTAAAGACAGGTAGCACCTAGTTTTAATATCTAGAAGATATGTAATTAATTTTAAAAATATTTCAGGTAATTCTAGTACGAATGCAGAAAAAGGCAGTTCAAAAGATGGTAAATATTACACAAAATTATATATTAAATATTTCTCTGTTATATTATTAGATATTTAAATAATGTTGTATGTTTGTAGGTAATCCGTCTAACACAACACCGACACCGTTGGTCACATCGTCAAATATAAATATAGTCACTACGTCTAAGTAAGTATAGTAATAATTGATAATAAATATCGCGAAAATTGGTATTAACACTGGAAAATATGACCAAGTGTTACCCATCATAATAGGATTATCATATGTAGAACTAGGCTAAGACGTCATATATAATTACATAACAAAACTTCTTATATAATTTTAAAAAATACCAACAAGATACGAAAAAGACTAAAACCTCTTTATTCTATGATATACCAGAAACATGAAATACATACTCTGTCTCGCTCTTTCCAGATCGAAAAAAGAAACGGCAAATGGTAATGGTAACGGCAAGGAATACGGCAGCAACGGCAACAGCAAAGAGGCGTGGCCAAGCCTCGGCTCCTCCCCTCCCGCAGACAGCCCCGCCCGGAAACAGACCAGTCCTAAACCACAGCACTCTACAGGTAACAAAAGAACTTGCTTTTCCTATAAAGGTCTAAAACGCAATTCTTCTAGTATCATTCATTGTGCAAGATTTTTAATATTATTTGTATTTCAGGTAAATCACAAGAAAACGGCACGTCAGAATCATCCAGTCCAACACAACAACAAATACAACAGTCTCATACGAAAAATAATAAAGAAAATCACACGGAAACAAAAACGAACAGATCCCACAAAGAAATCACAAACGGCCAAAGCAAGAAGAGCAAATCAGAAAAATCTAAACAAAAGAATAACAGTAGCAATAGCAACAGCAGCAGCAACAGTACCAGCAGCAGCAACAGCAATAGTATTAGTCAAGAAGTCACAGAAGAAGCTGCGGAAAGTACACCAGTATACAACACCACGGAAAACCATAGTTCAGTGTTTGAAAGTGATGCACAACAAAGTTACCTGACAAATGAATTAGACGAATTGGAATCTGATAGACATAGCCTGTTAGAAAACCATGATTTATTAGATAACAGTGATCACAGTCTATTAGACGATGATAACACACATAACCTTTTAAATGATGCCAATAATGTAGTAGTAATGATGCAAACTCATAGAGAAATGCTCGCAGGCCTAGTTGATAATAACCATATATTGGCACACAATATGAAATCACCTTTAACCAATGGTTACGGACTATTAGATAGAGAGCCGGTTAATTATTTAGGTAATGAAAGACAAATTAGCCAAATTAACCACGGAATTATGGATCAGAATGAATTAATGTTACACGAACAGAGGAGCCACAATGAGATGCTCATGAGAAATGAAATGTTGGCCCGACAACATAATGCAATGGTTGAACAGAAACATTATATGCCAACTTCCAGTATAGGACTCGAGACTGCTAGTGAATTATTAGGTAAACTTAATTTACTATTAAATTACAAATCATATTATATTCAAAGATACTTTATGGTATAAACTTTAACAGTGGTAGAGCCCGCTTTAACATGTTTGCACGAATTGTCCCGGCTCGCCCGGTGAAATACCACGACCACACAGAAGACAGGCGTCAAGTGGAAGCTATTTCGCGTTTCGTCTGATGAGTGTGCGGTCCCGGATGTATAATTTTAATCCTCTTTCACTTCCTAACCTTTTTTATGAGGAAAGGGTGGCAAGTGGACTTGGATTTTCTGGATGAGGGGATGCATGGGAAGGGAAAATATTTTATAATAATATAGGAAACACATCTTGATGATTTGCGCAATTGCGGACGTGTATTGGCAAGAGGCTTCGCTGTTTCAGTGATTTCGGGTGGCCGTTCGTTCTTTTGTCACCTTATAATAAAAAAAAACTAAATATGCTTTTTCCTATCCAGGTGCTAATTTTCATCAAAATCACAATATGCTTCCACCGTTTGGTATGCGTGTAGACAGCTCAATGGGCAGCGGCAATTCAATATCGGCTAACTCCTTATCCTCCAACTCTGTACCCGGGAGCTCACTGAACGCGATGGGCGGGTACATGTTGCAGCACCAGCAGATGCTGCAGCAGAACCAGACACCAATGCCACAGAATAACCTTGTTAATGGATTTGATGCGCCACAGTCTGGAGTAAGTATTCTATTTCTAGAGCATTCTTTTTAATTTACTATGGATTTTAGAAAAGCCTTCAACTCCTATACCCTATATTAGTGTTGTAATCCATGTCAACCTTTTTGGTGGCTCAAGGTCACTGAGCACTGCACCTACACCTCTTCTCGCATTCCTTTACGCCGCTCTACTGATCAAATTGTATTCCAAGCTGCCAAGATAGTAGAAAAAATTTATTGTTTGTATACGAACAGAGCGAAGGTCGGTATTTAGCTGAGAATATGGACAAGTTCTTTACCGACTTCCACAAGGCGCAGCAGATGCGGCAGATGTTGTCACGCGACACGGATGAGCGGCGGTATGCGCACGCGCACGAGCCACGCCCGCTGCACTCCGCGCCGCACTACCCACACAACATGCTTAGTGCCGAACGCCTTGAGATGGAACACAAGCAGAGGTACGTCCAACTATACTTAACATACAATTCATTTTGGATTAAATGCCACAATAACTTATTCTTCCGATATGTTAATTCCAGGATGAGTACTATACGCGCAGCAAGCGGGGAAAACTGCGGAGGGCGCGCGGCGGGTGACGGCGACGATGACCTTGACTTTGACCCCTTCAAAGAAACGCAGAAGGCGCTCGCAGAGATGATGGAGACAGAGATGATGTTTAACACCATCTCTAGCGGGTAGATACTTTTATAAGACCTAACCTATCTTTTAAAAAGTCCAGGATATCTGAGTGTGGAACATTATATTTATGTAGTCCAAGTTTCCTAATGATCGATGAACGTATTATTGTGAATTTCAACTGTTTAAGGACATTATATTATTATCTCAATTTTTTTCCAAGATAACGTGAAAGATGGCAATATTGCGGTATACAGCTTTACCAACAGTGGAGACTCATCGTAATGTCATATACGTATACGTGATGTGTTGTGTGTTGCAGAGACAATATGGAGCGTGTTCACCGCGCCCGGATCGCGCCGCCACCCGGATTCGGACACCTCAACGCCTTCGGTATGGGGGTCCCGCCACATCACCAGCAGCACCAAGGTCAGCTCTATTTACCAAATAATAATAAATATACATAGAATTATATGCATAAAGTCAGAATTGTGACCAAAGATCATCTTATGAATGACATTAACGTAAAGTTTTCAAGTTGCAGGTTATAACTCGAACAGCGCACAGAACGTGTTTTCGGACTGGACGCAGATGGACCCCGCAATAATGTCCACCTCGGTCAGCTTCGGCAAGCAGCCCCACGTCCAGTCCCACTCTCAGCCCCACGCTCAACCTCACGCCCAGTCTCATGCCCAACCCCACTCCCAGCCCGGCCTCACGCCGCAGCAGCAGGAGCTCTTCGCGAGGTTCAACCAGCTCAATGTGCAACCCAACGGCATCTCTAAACATCAGGTTTGTGACATCATTTTCTTGAAAATCGATCATACTGTGTAATCTACAAGAGGTTACAGAAGTTATAATTGGGAAAGCATCATTTTCCTTGTAAAAAAAGTGTGTGATGCTGGCAGATGTCAGGCGCGGTGTCAGCGGCGCAGCAGTGGGGCGGCGGCAAGCTGTGGGGCGCGTACAGCATGCCCATCCCGCCGGGCTTCGCCCCGCCGCCCGCGTCGCAGCACCCCGCCGAGTGCATCGACGCCAAGTAGCCCCCTCTCCCATCGCAGCGGAAATTATATTTTCTATCAATTAAAACATTTATTATCTCTATTCTTCCGTTGGTGACGTGATCGATAAATCTTTGTATTAAGAGAGCATATTTTAAACGAGAGAAATATGATAACAAAAAGGAATTTGTAAAATAAATTAACCTATTTGTTTTATTTAAAAAAATGTTGATTTTTTTTCTTTATTTTTTTATGAAATCTTCGCAGTGTCGACTGGACGCGGTCCAGCGGCGACCGCGTCATCGTATTTCTTAATGGTAATGTTTCGTTTCACAAAATATATGTATATTCGTTGTATTATTATAACTTAGTGTCATATCCCTGTTAAATGAAATTATTATTTTTTCTATATATAAATGAAATGCCAATAACGCGGTTCCATTTTGTACCTTAATGAGCCATTATCAATGAACATCATTAAAATTGAGGAATTATTATCCATTCTTTTAATGAACCTCATACATGTGAATATTCAGCAAACGATAAACTGATTTCCTATAATACTCCCATATCCTACACCAAGATACCTTTACAACATAACAAAATATCAGATTACACAAAAAAAAAAGTAAAATTACTAAAACATAATTTTATTAATGTCAACTAAGAAAAATAAAACAGCGAAAATATCATGAATGATTTTGTTACAATTACTGTCTATATGTGCCTTTCCAGTTCATTTGTGTCATCACTTTTTGCCGTCAATATATCCTCTAGGATCGGGTCCATCCCACGGTACCACATCACCATTGTGCCAGAAGTATCTACCACCACTCTCAGAGTCTAGCGCGACTTTCACCACAACTTTGGCAGCTTCATCCGGTGATACGTTTCCAGAACCTCGTGTCATGTCTGATATTACATAGCCTGGATGCACGCAGTCTACCTTGATGCCTGATACATATATGAAATAGGTTAAAAACTGTCACATGAACATAAAATTAAAAATACATGATTTAATTTTTGATTATTGTTACGAAGGCGCAATAAGCAACAGTATTACATTAAGTTTCTGTGATAACCAACTATGCAACAATAATGAATGATTACGGTTGTAAAAAATTGTCTAATTTGGTAACAACAAACGTGGCTGAATAGCACTCTTCACTGAAATATTTCATTCAATAGAAAAGTTTCTTGAAGGATGCGTCCTTATTTCTAGTCTGAATATAAATTAACTAAGTTAACAATACCTAGATGACATTGTTAGATTTTTGTAGAGCTTGCATTTGTTTGATAAATAAACCTAGTACTTTTTACCTCTATCTGCAAGCCTCCTGTTCAACAAAAATGTATAAGCATTCACGCCAACCTTCGAAACAACATACGGCGAGTCGCCCCAACCATCTTCGATCTCCTTGTTTTCTTTCACAGCCTCTAAATAATCGTTCATTAGACTTTGTAATTCTATTAAAGTTAAATTTGGTGATTTTATTTTTTCGCTCAGTTTTTCAGACGGTATTCGCGATAAATGTCCTGAAGAACTTGATATGTTTATAATTTTCCCGCCATCCACAATAAATGGTAACATTGCTTCAGTGAAATTAACTAATGCTGTAAAGTTTATGAATATTGTCTGTTTAGCTTGAATGTATTTTGATTCTTTAGCATCTTTAAGAAATAGTATACCGGCATTATTAATTAATAAGTCGACTTTTTGCTCTTCTTTACAAATAAAAGACGTTAATTTTACCACACTGTTGCTATTCCCTACGTCTAATTGATGATATTTAGGATAATAACCCATTTTTCTAATTTTTTCACAAGCTTCTATACCTCTCGTCTCATCACGCGAAGTCAAGTAAACTATTCCATCAAGTTTTTCACACAATTCTTTTACCAAAGGAAAACCTAATCCTTTATTTGCACCGGTCACTATAGCCACTTTATTGTTAGACATTTTATACTAAATAGCAATCAAACTATCTCACTTATTATACAACTATAGCATCAAGATCATTTACTGCGCTTAAAATCTAGAAAAAATACGAAACTGTTGTAAAAAGAATTTAATATCAAAACAGCTGTAAGATAAGATGTTCAAGGTCAAACGTGTAGATTACAATAAAATGTCACATATGGACCGTGAACACTGACCATTTATAATTTGCCTAGTCTTATTGTATATGGAACGAATGGCGTGCTATATTTCGCCTTACTACTTTCCTACTCTTGAATGTTGAGAGTTACATTAAAAGTAACACAGATCCCATATTCTTTAATTTTCTTCTTTTACATTCTCAAATCTGACAATTTTTTGGTGTTGGGGCCGACGCGAACTTAAAGATTTAACCTTAGTTATAAAATGTAAAATTTAAATATTTTTTAACCTGCTTTATAATTACCTATTCCCCGACACCCCGCACCCGCCAGAAGTTTCTGACAAGGGTAGAGGTAGTATTGCTATTTAAAAAAACATAATTGCATTATATGGAATTTTTCTTGGTAGTGGTGCGTATTTTTAATAATTAAATAAAAATTATCTTTCTTACCTTGCACATCAGAAATAAGGCAAAACATTAAATTTTGATGGAGACACTACTATTTTTTGTAAGATTTAACGTTTTATCTGTAAAAATGTTACATTATTAAAAAGTAGATACGGAATCTCTAGCTATAGACTTTTTACTTAACATTTTTCTTTTTTAATTATACTTTTTTCCGTTTTAAAGTGAATGATATGAATATGATATGAGCCTAATTTTACGGGTAAATAAAATTGTGTAATGGTATCACAGTGCAGTGGCGCGCCTTGGTTCGACACGACACGGTACAAAAGAGTATATAAAATAAGAGACGGGACTCCTGACTAATTAGATACACAAACGGAGAATAAAAATTGACATTTTCAATGCTAGCAATATTATGAACAAGTCTACGTTGCTACCAACCTAAAAAAAATCAATCTGTCAGTTTCCTTTTTGACGTTTGAAAGTATTATTCGAGGGAAAACAATTTAGGAAAAAAAATCCATTTCGTTAATTGCAACTTTAATTTAATCTTTCTGACTAAAGCGAACATATTTTAGGAACGCAACATAATGCAACACATATCTTTGAATTTCTATGCAGTTGTATGCAATTTGTAATTACAGTAAGAATGTCGGATGGATGTTATCAAGAAATTCGAAGAACGCATTACCATATAGCGGAGATCGTACCTGGATATGTAAAATATGATCCGGTAAAGCACCAACTGCACTGCCGACGCTCCAAATAGTCCCCTAATCCAAAATTTTCCCATCAAAACATTGCTAATGTACAAGTCATGTTAAATATTATGTAATGTAAAAATAGAATACAATATTTAAGTTTTACTTCTCAAATAAATTTATAAAATTGTCATGAACCTAAAGATTCCGCATATTAACTCTTTTGTTATTACTATTCTCCATAGATGTGTAACCTATAGATTCCTTAACGAGAAAAATAATGAGCTTAGGAGGCATCATTTTGGGGTAAAGTACCTGTGTTGAAATTTAAATTACTTGTAAGAAAATTGTATACAATCTCTGTTTATTTTTTATTACTTAGTTCAAAAAAAGTTTAAGATATATTATAAGTTGTGATATTTGTAAAATCCAAATTTAATAAATTAATTTTGTTTCATATTTTTCACTAAATGGTATTTTTTTTATCTTTTGTACCAGTTTAATGTGATCCATCGATATAACATTTACGGATTCAACAGTGCATTTAAATTAATCATGTTTAATGATGGTGAATTAACTTGTATCAATTATGCAATAAATATAGAACTATATTTTTAGAACTTTTAGTACGTTTGTTTTATTATTATGAGTTATACAGTTTTGGAAATAAATATTTTTTCATAAAATTGAAATTGCTTCATTTAATCCTCCTCTGCCAAACTAACTACATTAAAGCAACTTCATCGGTGAAAGAAAAGTTGGTGGATTTTTAAGAAATTGAAAAAAATGTTCCGTTTTCCTCCCTCGAGGCAAAAGAATCGGCAGTGAATTCAACGTGGTATTAGTTGTGTAGCATCTATAATTTATAAAAACTCAGTTGCTCCAAAAATCGATATATTTATCAACAGGTAATAAAAAATTATGTTAGCAGTTTATAAAATCACAAAAACAAAGAATATCCATAATCCATAGCATAGAAAGAGGGCCAACTCGCACGAAGTCGTGGATACACGGCGATTGTCGCGCTCCGTGCGTATAATGGGTGAACTAATTTTGTTTTTCTTTTGTACCTATATACGTAGGCACGCATATTTAGCTCACTATAATAATAACTGATAAGGGGGAATCTAATTAATGAAGTTAAAATAGACAATCAATGTTCAAAAATAATATACCCACTTAGATAGTTATTAATATAGTGAGCCGATATCAAGTAGCCTTCTATGAAATACCTCTATTAAAATGATCCAATTATTATTGGGGAAATAAAAACAAAATATTTTTATATTTTTGTACATTATTTACTATATTTCTACATAACTTATTATAATTTTAAATTTATGCAAGTACACATACATTCATTTACACTTTCAAGATTACAGCTCTATATTTTAATTTTTAATATAAATATATTATATTATATTTTTAGCAATTACAACCAAAATTTCCGCTTCATCTTCGTCTCTAGGGGTCATCATGAGGCATGTTCGCCTGAACAGCAGACGATGGTCCAGTTTCCGTATTGTCACTTAATATGTTTCTAGGAGAGCCACCTTGAGCGTCTACCGTTTCAGACTTCTTCTTCTTCTTCTTCTTCTTCTTCTTCTTCTTCTTCTTCTTCTTCTTCTTCTTCTTCTTCTTCTTCTTCTTCTTCTTCTTCTTCTTCTTCTTCTTCTTCTTCTTCTTCTTCTTCTTCTTC